AATAATAATCACAATCATAATCATAATAATAATAATTATAATCATAATCATAATTATAATCATAAAATAATCGGATCTGACTTTGCCTAGATATCTTAAGTGAAAAAAATTATTTTCGGTTAAAAGTTGTAGCAATATCGAAAAATATTTTGCATGAAATAATTGAAAATCAATTCGGTCTCCTTGCAATCGATCTAATTCATCATTAAGCTATTATGCATAAATTTTTCCATTTTTAGCAGATAATGAAGCAAATCAAAATGATTTTTTATTGCTCGAGACACTTCTCTTAAATTTCCTCAATACATTTATGCGACCATTTGAAGCGATTCATATGAACCAATCATTTGCCAAATGGATCGAAAAGAAAATTGGTACCACAACTTCAATGAACGAAGGCATCAATTAAAAATTTTCGCTTTTGTTACTGTTAAAATTTTTTTTTCATTATTGATCAAAATATTTTTGCTATACGTCAATTCATTCTGAGAGAGATCCTAACATTTATTTGGTTTTCAACAAAATTATTTCTAGTTGAATTAAAATTATACTAGTTGTAAATTTATTTAACAACAACTTTGAACATGTAATAACTAATTAATGTTATGAAGATTGCATTTTGCCAATTATGCTAATTTCATTCATAACTTTAATTAATCAATCTTTATTAACATTACTCTTCCATTAATTGAAAGCGATATTATTTCAGAAACAACGAATACCGAAGAACTGACGAACTTTTTTAAACATTCGTACATTTGGACACTGATCAAAACAAACTTCAATAAGTCAATGAAAATAATTGGTAAAAAACGAAAGTCTTTTTTGATCACCTTTTCAATAATTTAAATAACTTATCTAATAAATTCGATATATTACAAAGTTCCGGGAATAATAGTAATTAGATGTTATAACGAATAATAAAAACTTCAGCCAAAAGTTTCATATTAAAATATTTAAATTAATAAACAAATTGGAAATAATTTCAGAAAGATTTACGATGATATTAGTGATATGATGTAATCATTTGTTGTCTTGTCGATTCGTTCATGATTTATGATATGTTTTAGATGAAATGGATGGATGCATCAAGGATTTAGCTAAATTGATTGATTCCACTGTAAATGCGCTATTGATCACGACATACTGCCGATTAACTGATCAGAATCAAACACATATAAATCAATGTCTTGGTAATAATCTTCTTCTCTTTTTATTGCTTACAAATTTATAAATTCATATTTTTTTTTTGAATTTAAAATTAAAAACTGATTTTTTATTCGTTTTAAATTTCTGATTTTCTTCATTCCCTATTTTTAATTTCTGATTTAGATCAGCTATTTAGTGAAATTTATATGTTGATTAAAATTTCATTTATTATAAATTTAGCATTGACTCGGTTCTGTATATCAGATCTTTCGTTTTAGCTTCAAAATTAGAAATTAAAAGTGCTAAATATAAATAAAAATAGCTCTATGAAATGCATTTTTTAATTTTAAACATTTTAAAATAATGTTTTATAGATGCTCATCCAATATTTCACAAATATTTGCCACAAATTCTGGATGCTTGGGGTCGTCCATCAGCTGGCATCTATTCATCAGGCCCATTTTTTTGGCTCGGTGATTATGATCAATGCCAAAGCATCTCAAGAATGATAACTACAAATCAGTCAGTACAATACTGTCGAGCGAATATTCGTGTTGAAGCAAATGGAATGAAACAACATCAAACAGCTGTCTTCTATGGTTTCTAAAATAATTAAAAACTATATTTTTGAATCAAATTTGAAAAATTTCAAATCTGAATTAATACTCAAAGAATAGTAAATCGTTTACATTTTAAATTATTTTAAATCTATAATCTACAAAAAAGGTATCAAATAACAGTATTTTCAGGAATGTGTTTACCGATTCGTTGTAATGAACGTTCCATAAATAACATTTTTCCTGTTCTCTTCTCTTTTCTGGAGAGCACTTTTGGAATTTTAATTTCCAATAAATCAACTGTTGAATGCTTCAAACAAAAGGATTCATTCTTTAACGAACTTAATATTCAACAGGTGTAGTTTTAAATGTCATATTAAAAGACTTTTTTTTTGCATAAGTTATTGGAAATTAAACTTTGGCAAATCATATATCGTTGAATCAATTTGCAGTGGATAAGTCTCGGTATCTTTGCTTTTCTTGTTTTATTGGTACTTTGTGGTACTTTGATCGATATCTATCGTAAACGACGCAATCGAAAATATTCAGTCAATAAAGGTTCTTTCCATATGCATTTTTAAATTTCTAAATTTAAGCCTTGTTATGATTTGAAAATAACTATAAGCAGCAATTATTTCAAATGGTAGTTAGCGTAAATTAACTCAGAACGGTATTTTTTATAAATGTTTTAGTGCGGTGAATTCTTATGAAAATCCTCAACATCTTCAACGTTTTATTTATTTCTTTTTTCATTCATTTTTCCAATGAAAAAAAAAATTGCATTTTTCTGTCTCGCTAAAATTGATATTTTTCTATCTTGCTAAAATCCATCGCATGCTTTTCAAAGTTAGAAAATAAGTTGTTGACCAAGCCAAACAACTGATCGATGATAGATCTTTAGAGAAATTTCTAGAAAGTTATCTGATATTTCAAATGGGACACTTCAGAATTGATCGAGAATGAGAAAATACTGCTTACAATATCACTTAATTCACGATTTCTCACAGATATTTTAGTCTAGAAAGTTTTTAATAACTGTTTGTTTAAATTTCAAAAAACTTTAATGAGGCAAATCTTCTCGCCAAAAATTAATACATTTGATTAATAATCATTATCAATACTTCAGCAAACTTCAAATTAAAACTGAATATTTTATTGTCAAAAGATATTACTCTTTTAGAAATTTCTCAAGCCATAAATTTTATTACAAACTTTAAATAATAAAGATAATTTAACAAAATATTGTTTCAAATTTGCTAACTAATGCAGAGTGTACGGTAATATACCATATGAAAATTTAAAAACAAGAAATAAATAAATGAAATTTCAAAACAAAATTCACCTTACTCCTTACATAATTTACAGAATCATCTGAAAGTTGTGGTCATATGACTATCAGACCGATGACAAATGTATCATCACAAATTTCATCCATCTGTACGCCATACGTTCAAGATGACGTACATAGCTTCATATACAGTGACGCTCCTTCGCAAGCACTCACGTACAAAAGTGTATCAGCTGTACGAAGAACATTGAAAAAATCAAGTTGTGCTATTAACAGCGTAAGTTGTCCCATATTCAATTCATATTTAAATAAGATAACAGAGGTTCGTAGGAAGAAATATCAACCTTTCATTACTTCAAAATACTATTATTAACCTAACGTTCCTTCAATTTTATTTTAAATTTAAATTTACATATCGAATTTAGGTTGGTATTTCAATTGCTATTAACGTATCTTTAACATACTTATGCATCATTGACGTTAAATTAGATTAATTGAAAAATAAATCTTTTTTTTTTTTTTTTGATATTATAAAATAGTGAAATTTAGATACTCGCATTCAGTATTTGTTCTACATATCATTATTTGACACGTTCACGTAATCGACATTTGAATTCATTGCATGGTGTTAGAGTGCTAAGCGCTTTTTGGGTAAATATTTTTTGCTAAATTTCACAGTTTTTTTAAAATTTTCAAATATTTCACATATTACAATAATCTGACTCTTTTTGAATTAATAACAATTAATATCAAATACTAAAAGGTATTAGATTTTTTTTTTTTTTTTAATCTTTCATATTAATGGATAAATATTTTTTGTGTTTTTGGTTATATTTTTCAAATTACTTCACTCATTGAATATCATAATATTGTTGCTTAATCCACTGAAATACAACTTTAATATAGGAAAGATCTCAAGCATGCTAGGCTGAGCTGACACATTTCAAATATTACTCGTATCATATCATTAATGCATAAAATTACATCATTCCTTTTTTTATCATAAACTTTTATAATTTGAATAAAATTAAACGAAAAAATTCCATTCGATATTTTTTTTCGTTTAATTTTTGTCCAAATTTAAATTCAATCAGATTCATTCAATTAATTGAATGAATTTTTACATTTAAATTTGAAAATTTAACAACATAGTCAATATATTGATGATAATTTTTAGGTGGTAATTGGTCATACGCATTTGTTTTCATTGGAATACGTTGGTAACGTACGACAGTTATGGTACTCATTGAAAGCAAACGAGAAACTTTCGCAAATTATTTTCAATTCATCGCTTTCCGTTGATTCCTTCTTACTGATATCCGCTACCGTTTTGGCGTATAAAGTTCATTTACGCCTCCTAAAGCAAAAACAACGTAGAAGCAAACAAGCAGCATTATCACCATGTGGATGGCTTATAATTTGGTCTCATCGTTTCATGCGTCTAATGCCCGCTTATCTTATCACATTCTTTATCATTTATTTTATTTTTCAACATATTGGTGATGGACCAATGTGGTCTCAGCAGAATGGTTAAAAATTTTGCAATTAAAAAATTGATATGATTAAATACAATCATAAGCAATATGTACTTTGTAAATGTTACTGTAGTAGTTTTTGTTCAATTATGATAACTTGAAAGTTACATTCTTTTTATAAATGAAAACTTTAAAGTATTGAGGTTAGAATTTTAAATAAATCTTTCTTGAAGTTCAAATGTCAATTGAAACAGTTTGGTGAAATAAGTGACAATTGTTTATTTATGTTAGAAAAATAGACAAATTGATATGATACTTTAATTGCTGTATTCTGTAGCAAATATATTTTAATACTTTAAAAATTATTATTTTTACATTGAAATCTTAAGCAAAAAAAAAAAATTTTTTTTCAAACAAAAAAAAAAAAATTACAGGAATTTTCGGCGCACGATGTAATAAGAATGATATTTGGCGACAATTACTTTTTCTGAGTAATTTCTATCCAAATGAATGTATGCCATGGATGTGGTACCTTGCATTGGACACACAATTTTATATTGTTAGATTTTAAAATTTTATCTTTTCAAAAATTAACTTCCAATTTATTTCGATACCCATTCATA